AGAAAGTGGAAAAAAAGCAAGCTGCCAGGTCTGGGACTCAAATTGGGGTCAGCCATGTGGGAGTCCAATGCCTTAACCACCATACCGCCTGCGGCCCTAGTGAACAATTTTCTAACACCCATTGTCCAAAGCCATGCTACTACTGAATGTGTGGCCTGAGGATGAGTTTATTAGAAATGTTAACCCGTGTGTGTGTATGTGTGTGTGTGTGTGTGAGTGTGTGTGTGTGTGTGAGTGTGTGTGTGTGTTTTATACAGCATCTAGTTATGTTATGTTCCTCTTGCTTCAGCCACTAGAGTACCTAGGACTATAGTTACAGGCCACCATGCCTGACCTTAGTGCAGGGCAGGAAGGAACCCAGGCCTGCTGTGGCTGAGTAGCAGTATCTATCCTTAGGCATCACTGTGGCTGGGACAAGAAATGGCATTTCTAACAAGATCCCCTGGTGATTTATATGCACATGAAAGTTTGGGAAACCCTGGTGTAGAAAGTCAGCTTTTCACTGCATGACAGGATTTTCTGCTGAGGTCTACAGGCTGATGTGTCCTTCCAGTACAAGTCCAGGTGAAGACACATTGATGTTGGGATGTCTGTGTGTCTGGGAAGCTGACTACCTACCTTTTATCTCCAGTGAGGCCTCCCTCACAGTGCAAAGGGAGATGGCTGCAATGATTAGGATCAGGATCCCATTACAGCACTGCTGGCAGCTTTTGGAAGCATTGCTCGGCTTTGTTCTGTACTTGTGTTGATTTCAAATTTTATTAAGCCAGGAAGCAGTGCCTGGCCAGTGGTTTATCCCGCCTTGGCTATTCATGCTCCCCAATTCATTCTTATTGTGCTAATTAAACCATCAAGATATTTCAAGTACAGATTGTTATTTCCATTATCAAGGCTTTGGCCAGCATATTAATGCTGTCGAATTAATGTGAGTCAGATGCTTACTCATTTGTGGAAGACTTTACATTTAAAAGATCTAGACTTGGCCAGTTTTTGCAGATTCCTTTGGAAACTGCTATGACAGGGTGATACAATTTCTCTATAAATAAAGGAAACTGACTCTTCTCTCACAAAACAGACACCAATTATTTTTTTAAACAAACCAAATTCCTAGATCATCAATGTACAGTGGTATTCATGATCTGTTTTAAAATGAATATATGTAGCCTGGGGAGAGAGTGCAGTGTAATGATAAAGACCAGGCATTGGGTTCAAATCCTGGGTCTGCATTTCCTGGGAAAACTTTGAGAGCTGTATTTGACTTTTTGAAACTCACATTCTTCCTTAATTAAATGAGGAGAATATACCTACCTTCAAGGCTGGCTGTAAGGATTAAATTAAACAATTAAATACTAGACAAGAGCACCTAGCTCTGTGAATGCCCAATAAATAAATACTAATATTACTATTACTGTAAATAAATAAACATTTTGAGAGTTCTTAATCATATAAGCTTAAGTGTGAAGAAAAATAAACTGCACTCAACTTTATGGTGAAAATTAAGATTATGGATAACATTTCCTACTGAGAATCTTGGTATTTCAATCCTGCTCTTCTCAGAATTTTCAAATCAATAAGTATATTTTTGAAGAATAGAAAATTCATCCTGTATTTGTACTTGAGGAACCAAAGAGATTTTCTTCCAAGAGCCTTGGAAATTAAAAATATGACAGAGGAAGGAATGTAATAAAAAACCTCAAGAGCAGGTTTAAAAGCTGAATTTGAAAAAAAACTCCCTCTAACTAGAGCAAGTAGACACAAAGATAGAAAATAGAGAAAGCATTAGATAATTAGATGGGCTGTGGAGAAGATCTAGCATTCAAATAATAGGAGTTCTAAGTGATAGGAAAACATTGCATCCAAGCTGAATTAACATTTTGTTTTTTTTTCTTAGTGGTATATATAATAATGTCATGTCCTATCATTGATATTATTTTAGACTTGATAAGATGTAGCAATTATATTTTAGATGATTTGTCTGTCAGTAAAGCTTAGATATTCATGACAAACTTTCTGTCTTCATCTAGACAGTGTAACTTCATAGCAGAGAATGATGGAAGACAGTGTGTTGAGTGTGGTGCAGTCATGGGAGGAAGGCTGATAATCAAGTGTGAAAGTGAGCCTAGTTCTCATTTCCCATGGTGTGAGGTCAGTAGGTAATGCTGAAACAGAAAAACCAAGAAGTCACAATAAAAGCATGATATTGAGTGATGTGGAGATGAATACCAAAAGAAGAAGTTAAGAGGGATAAGGGACAGGTGGTGATTTGGTGGCGGTGAAACTGGACCAAGGTTGCGAGTTTGGATCCCAGGATCTCCCTGAGCACACTGGACATATGTGTGTGCACATGATCTAGGTCATCAGGCGCTGGGTTGGATCATGTTATGGGAACCCTATTGGAGGTGACTTCCTCTATTTCTGCACTTACACTCTGAACAAATTAGTAAATAAGGGCTTTTTTTGAAAAAAAAAAAAAGAATTATTTATTTAATTTTATTTACCATTATTATTACTTTTTAATTCACAAGGGCATGTATGCTAGAGAGAGAGAGAGAGAGAGAGAAAGAAAATGAGAAAGCATGCCACCAGGTCCAGGACTTGAACCATGGTCAGCCATGTGGGAGTCCAGTGCCTTAATCACCACGCCATCTGCTGGCCCTACTAAATATGATTTTTAAAAAAGAGAGGTAGGGACCAGGAGGTGGGGTGGTAGTTAAGGTGCTAGATTCCCACATGGCTGACCGTGGTTCGAGTTCCAGACCTGGCAGCTTGCTTTCTCACGTTCTCTCTCTCACGCACGCACACTCGTTCTGGTGAGCATGCATGCCCTATAGCAAATTAAATAATAATAATGATAAATCAAATTAAATACGTAATTCTATTAAAAAAAAGAGAGAGAGAAATGAAATGGATGCCTCTGAAAACAGAAAATAGTGCTGCCTTGGTGAGGTCAAACTACTGGTTTTTACACAGTGGTTTAACTATTTTTAATAACAACTTTTGTGAAACTATAGCCACTTCAAACTATGTAATTGCATGTTTGATTAAAAACAAAACAAAACAAAGTATATATTTTTAAAAAGTCTCGCAGATCATATCACTGACTTGAAGGAGATTTTTCACTAATTTTTTACATCTTCCCTTGACATGAGTCTTAATAAATTTCAAAGCATCATTGTCATAGAAATTGTGAAGAAAACACTTTGAGAGAGGAAAAACGACTCACACAAAGGCACACAATTAGTAGAAGACAGGTTTAAAGTCTAGGGCTTAATTCTTAGATATTGCATTCTCTTGATCTTTGTTATGAGCTTTATTGCCTGGTATACCTCTGGAGTTTAGGGGACCTTTTAGAACTCTATGAAAGATATGATGTAACCCTCTACAAGATGCTTTTACAAAGGAAGAGTTCTGACAGTCTCACTATCCCAGTGGTGGAAATACCATGGACAAATTTTGATGGGCTCTGATTTCAATAATGAAGCACAGTAGCTGTGTCATTAAGGACTGTGTTGAAAGAGAAAGGTTCGTGCATAGCATTGTGAAGACGTAGGTCAGATATAAGAGGGCTGCAAAACGTTTGTGGAAAACAGAATTAGGATATGAATTTATTTTAGTGCATAAATTAAAAAAATCATTCTTGTTTTTTTCATAATAAATATTTTTCATGGATTTTTTGAGGACCCTTGTATTGCTAGGTGGATGGGTTAATTGCAATTTAATGGCCATTGAAGATGAATTGCCTTTTCTGACCTCCAGGTTGCTTTTGCGTTAATGATATATTACAGTTCTGTGGGACACAGCTGCCAGGGTGAATACAGTCCCAGCTGAAGTTTCTGGTAGTAAGAGAGGAACTGGCTTGGTTGCCAGAAACTGACGTGCTGTTAGTCCCTCTGAGACCCTCCTTCATGTAAAAAAATGCTTTCGTTTAAAGCAGTACACATACCTAGTGGATGTGATAGTTTAATGAAATGATAGCAGCATCGATAACTATCTTTTGAAATAAGTATAGACAGTTCTCTGCTGAAATATTAAAAACCCTTAACACATTCTAAATTGTATCTGATTACAAATACAGTCAAAGGCCTTTTCCATAAAAAACCTTCAGGGACCAGCAGGTGGCATAGTGGTTAAGGTGCTGGACACTCCCACGTGGTTGACCATGGTTCAAGTCCTGGACCTGGAGGCTTGTTTTCTCACTTTCTCTCTCTCTCTATCTCTCTCTGGTCACATTAAAATAAATGAATGAATAATTTTTTTTTTAAAAAAGCCTTCTTCATCAGAATAAGGACCCATGTAACCTTTTTCATCGTATAATAAATAGGATAACCTATTTTTATTCATAATATTTAACAATGATTTATATAGCTTTGAATTATAATATTGTCACATTTCAAGCTTCTTATCTTTAAAAATGCTTTGGAACTATGCATTCTTCAGCAGTCTAACTCTTTCAAAATCTGTCTGGTCATGACTTATATTTGTAAGAGTCACTTAATGCAAAAGATGAAGATGCATCTTGACCTTTTGTGTTCTTGATTATACAAAGGTGGAGGGAAGGAATCAGGGTGAAGTAAATGAGATGACATGTGGGTCCACAGAAAAATACTTATTTATGTTCAAAAACCTGGATTGGTAATTATAGAAGAGAAAAAAGAGGTATACGACAGTTTTATAAATTAGCACTTAAAATGGCTATTTGCAATAATATTTTCAAGAAGTGTATATATTTTTTTCAAGTTATTGCTGGGCATTTTGGGGTCCACATGACTTTTTAAGGCTTATCAGCCTGGCACTTCTTTGATATATTGGCTCATCAGAAAAAGCATGAGATATTTTTCTAGGCAAAAATGCATCATGACTTTTCTGATGACTCAATGAATCGTCCCAGAAAGTAATAATGACTGATTTTAAAGAATAAAAATATTTCAATTTATTGTTATACTTGTGATCATGTATTTAACAATTTGTGTATTTCTCAGTTTATTTTTCTCATTTCACAGGTTTGCCATCCGCCAATCTGGCCGCACCTAACCTCACTGTGGAAGAAGGAAAGTCTATCACGTTGTCTTGTAGTGTGACCGGCGAGCCAGTCCCCAATATGTACTGGGATGTTGGTAATCTTGTTTCCAAACATATGGTAAGGCTCAGTGTTGGCTCTGTCTTAATAGCCAGTGTTTCAGAACTTGAGGTTGTGTTATACCTCGTCATGATCATTTAATATTTGGTAAAGCCATGTGTAGAAATTTAAAGTGAGTTTTTGCTTTCTGTTTATTTGTTTGTGTATTTATTTATTTTAAGGCTTTTGTCATAAGATGTGTATGCCTTACCAGAGAGCGACAGTGAGAGGGAAAGTGAGAAATCTCCCCTTGCGGGATTGGCTATGCCACGATTCCTTCTCCTTCATTCTCCTCCTCAGACTTTGGGCACAGATGCACACATGCCCGGAGTGATTTTTGCCCAAGGCGATTTTCAAGTCACTATGCCCGAGACTTGAACTGCAGTCAGCCATATGAGAGTCCAGTGCTTTAACCACCATGCCACCTACTGGACCTTATTTATTCTTTTCTGTTTTTTTTTCTTTAAAGTTTGTTTATTAATTTCATGAGAGAGATAGAGAGAAGCAATTTCAACAGGGTCTTCATGCTGTAACCCTTCTCTTCTCACCCAGCTCCAATCAGGGTGTGTACACCCAGTGTGTGCAGAGAGACATCAGAATGCCAACCTGGGACTTTCCTGTGTAGACCAGTGCTACCACTGCTGTGCCACACCTGGACCATGTTTTCTATTTGTTTTTAACTAGCAAAGACCAGTGTGGACTTGCATTGAGTTATGTGTGTCCAATAGACTAGATAGTCTTTACACTCCTCGGGAGCTCTTGGTGTCATTATGGGCAGGTTGAGGGACTCTCCTTGTGGTTTTTCTTCCTTGGGGGAAAGTAGGTAGGAATGCAAGGATTAAGTCAACCTCACACATTAAACAATTGAAAACTAGAAAAATAAACTAACTTCTCTTTACCTGTGTCCGATTCAGGCAGAGACACTTCCTATTGTCATATATTTATATTTTCTCTAATTAGGCAAAGAAACCCCAAATTTTGTTACTTTGGGATCAATCCTAATCAAGATTATTTTTGTCTGTTAATTCATTTGTAGAATGAAACAAGCCACACACAGGGCTCCTTAAGGATAACTAACATTTCGTCTGATGACAGCGGAAAGCAAATCTCTTGTGTGGCAGAAAATCTTGTAGGAGAAGATCAAGACTCTGTCAACCTCACTGTGCATTGTACGTAATGAGATCAGCATGTGTGTTGCATAGCGAATAATCATGGACATGCCTACATTTGTTCCTGAGACACTCTGGGTGCTGCTGAAGTTTTCTAAAGAAAGTATACAGAGTGTTTTATAGATATTTCATTGAGATCTTATTAGCCACTCCACTAATTCTATTTCTACTCAGTCTTTCTTGCTGTCTTTCCTTTGAGTTTCATTTTCGATCTTGGTCATGTCCTCTTATGCTTTCTCCTGTCTTTTCCTAGTAGGACATATTTTGAGCAGGCTATTCCCCTCTTGTTAATATATTAGCTTAAATTCTTATTAATTAGTTTCTAAAAATGTTTTCCTCTGTAAAAGCAACATGAAGCTTTAAAGTTGTGCTGTCTAAAGTGTTTGCTGGCTGTTCGTGAACACCTAATTGTACTGTTGATACAATAAAGCCTCATTAGTTTGATATCAAGTTTCTGTGGAAGGTAGACGTCCTGCTTAAAATTGAAAATTATTACCACTGGCAGAAAGCTTTTCTTGTTGTTCTAAATTTCTATATACAATTGAAACTAAAATATAAGCTATCAAGGTTTCTTGGTTAAACATAAGTGAATTGTTTTTCAGTATGATAAATAATATGGTATGTATCCAAATATTTCAGATTGTAGCATTTAATGTAAATACATATTTGGGTAAAAATTACATTCACATCTTACAACCTTGAAAATTTTGACCTGGCCTGGTATAAATTAATGAGGTTTTACCTTGTTTGGATCAGGATTTGGATGAGGAGAACATGAGTGTAAATGTATATGTGTACAAATTACACATGGTCATAGCTGGTGTTGATACATTGGTTAACACTCACAGCACACGTTCAGAGTGTGATTGTTGTAGTGAACAGTTGGAATCACCAGCCATCATCCTTTGTCATTCTTAGTACCATCAATATGCCCGTTGGGTACCAACTTGTAATTTCTCATCATTTTGACTCACCCAGAAGCCTGAAGTCATTGTTGTCCCCACACATATGTAACCAGCCTCTAACTGGTAAATCAGCACCTCATCAAAAGCTTGTTTGGGCATGGTGGAAAGAATAGCTGGGCCCTACCTAGGCATAGGGGCCTGGGCTGGTGGGAGGAAGGTAAGTAGAGTGCCTACTACATTCTGGTCCTTGTTGTGACCAGTTTATAATGCGGGCCTATAAGCATGTATAGCTACACATGCGTGTACCTTCTCTTATGTAATGGATATAGAGTCTCCTCAAATTGTTTTTAAATTGGCTTTTTATAGATAGGATTCTATGTTACCTTAAAAGTGATATTACTCACCAAAGATTACTTTAAGAAGGCCTGCGAGAAATATTTGGAGCAAACAATTAAACTTGCAAATTTAAATTTTCTAATATTGAATTTCTTAAATGTGTTACGATACAAATTGACAGAATTCAGTAACTCCACATATTCAGTTGTAAGGAATTTTACTGGTAACTGAAAATCATTCTATAGATTATGAAAGTGAATTCCATACTTTCCTCAGCCTTGATTCTTCTTGGGTAGTACTCTAGGAGGAGTTAGCTGAGCTCAAATAGGCAAAAGTCAGACACTAGGAGATGGGTTTTGTTTGGTTAGGTTAATATTTTTGTGGAAACCATGGTCTGAAGAATATTTTTGTGGGGACCATGGTCTGACGAATATTTTTGTGGAAACCATGGTCTCAAGAATTAAACTTGTTGGTCCAAGTTTAGATAAAAAATGAAAGGAATTAGTGATAAAGAGTATTAATGACCAAGATAAGCGTAACAGAGACTCCAGTAATAGTTATCTTGATTGTTTATGTGTTATCAAGTTGTGATACTTGAAATTATTTCCCCCTCTTATTGTGTTGAACATGTATAATCAAGAAGCAATATGAAAGGCTACTAGATTAGACCCGGACTCTTTTACCAAATCTGGCTCTTCTAGTAACCTTGACCAACTCACCTAACCTCATCAGACTTTGGTTTCTTCATTTGAAAATACTGTCCTAGTAGGTCTTGAAAGTCTTTTCCAGTTCTTGATTCTATAATGATCAAAGTCAAACCACATTGAAATAAACAATGAGTGATTTCAAAAACCTTCACTCAAGATAAGAATGCTGTTTAAAGATACTACTTAATAATGTTTGTTTCCCCAAAGTATAAAGTACTTTCTACTTAAAATTGAAATAATCTCTAAGTCTATTTATACAAGCTTAGATTGGACTCCAGGCATTAAAGAGATCAAAACATAGACATAGATGTCAATCCTAGGAAAACAAAGCGCATTATAATGTGATGCTTTTAAAGAATATTGCTACTGGCAGTCGATGAAAAATGTCAATTTCTCATATTTACAATAACCAGCATCAGTAGCAACATTTTTATATGGATCAGTTTGATTTGTTTTAGAAAAGCTACATGATGTCAAGACTTCTGGTAAAATTTCTGAAGTCATTTTTGTTGATATTTGTATTATTTAGGGAAGAAGTACCATAAAAATAAAATCCCTCATATTTTTGGTTATGAATCTAAATGATATCAAGGTACATTATAGAGAGTAAAGACAACTTCAAATAAACTCTTTCCACTGTGGGAAGTCTCTTGGATCTGTCTGGAATTGGTTCTCACTTACACCGGGGAGATTTGAAAATGACTGTGTTATATGGCTGTTCAGTAGAGCAGAGAAAGGAGTCCCTCTGAAGCACTCTGTAGGGAATTAAATCAACCTTGATGATACAAAATTTTGATGGATCCCAGAGTAGCTTGGTCATATCACCAAACAATGGCTGAATGAAATCCCTTATTGATGACTCAAAAATCTGTGATAGGGAGACTTCTGAGCCTTCTGATGCTATTAACTCTCTCTTTTTCAATTTAGTTGCACCAACTATCACATTTCTCGAATCTCCAACCTCAGACCACCACTGGTGCATTCCATTCACTGTGAAAGGCAATCCCAAACCAGCGCTTCAGTGGTTCTATAATGGGGCAATATTGAATGAGTCCAAATACATCTGTACTAAAATACATGTTACCAATCACACGGAATACCACGGCTGCCTCCAGCTGGATAATCCCACTCACATGAACAATGGAGACTACACGCTAATAGCCAAGAATGAGTATGGGAAGGATGAGAAACAGATTTCTGCTCACTTCATGGGCTGGCCTGGAATCGATGATGGTGAGTATCTGCTGTGTTTGCAAGTGGGGAGAGGATAGGGCATATCATTTAGCCAAGTAATGTGGCAAAGTAATGTGTACAACAAACCATCCTCAAGCACAGTGGCTTAAAACTGTACTTGCTTAAGAGGCTATAGGTCACATGGAGCAGTTCTCTTTTACAGGTATCTATTCTGGGCTGCAGGAAGAAGCAACAGGAGCTACAGAGGAGACTTGTTTCTGTTTTTTATTTTTATTTTTGGGGGAAGAGATATTTGCTATAGGGTATGTGTGCTTATTGGAGAGACAGAGAGATAGAAAGTGAGAACTTATCCCATCCTCCCACCTCCCAGGGCGGGGGATGGCCACACCACAATCCCTTCACCTTCTTTCTCCTCTCAGGATCTTGGGCACGCACCCACACATGCCCGGTGTGAGTCGTAAGCCACTGGGTCTGGGACTCCCAGCAATGTAACCATTACGCCACCTGCTGGTCTTGAGGCCTGTTTCTTATGGCTAGTACATAATGTTAGAGGATGGCTGGAGATGAGCATGGCTCCTTAAGGCCATGGTTCAGTGCTGGTACACTGTCTCTTTAGCCTGTGTACCAATGACCAAAGCAAGTCATAGGGCTAATGCCAAGTCATAGGGTGGGTAGGGACATGTACTCCTCCCAAGAAGATGGTGGGAAAAATGAATAGTTTGGAAAATAAATCTGATATAAACTGGATTATGAATTAGTGTGCTTGGGTAGTTCATGAAAAAGGGGTTACGTTATTATTTTTTGCTCAACCATGTAATGAGAGCTTTGTACTAACAAGGGTAAGACCTGTGCAAAATCATGAGTAGATAAACTGTGGATGGCTCATGAAATATTTAAGAATTATTTTCCAGTTGCTTGTCCATTTGGAAGGTAGAATTCTATTTTCTCATCCATGGATGAGAAGCCAAGATTTGGAACTGTTTGGCTTACTGAGGCTGAGTGAGTTGAATAACTCTTTTATCAGATCCTGAGTTATTTTGCTAGGAGGGGTTAGAATACCTATCTGCCCAATGTTTTGGGTTGGACAAGTTTGGTTAGCAGTAGGAATTTCAATGTGGCCAGCAGGAGAGTTTCAATGCGAGCTTCAATTTACCTGTGAGCAGGCAAATTGTCATGCATTTACCTGCTTCAGATTCTGTCTGTCAGTGGAGTATTCTTACTGTGCAATCTTGTTGCCCAAATGCTTGCTGTCACTGTGGAGGCTGAGACCCATGTTTAGATGCATACATGAATAGAATTCTTCACCATAACATCTTGGAGCTAGTTACAGTCACACAAAGCAAAGGGAAGGGAAAATAAAAACCTGGAGACCAGGAAGGCAGAGGCTGTCTGAGGAACATCTACTTGAGTGGCTCAAAGCCAAGTGCTATGGACCAAGGTAACGTATGTGAAGCTATTCCACCACACAGTAAATAAGAAAGTAGCACTTCTCATTACATAGTCTATTATCCCGGAATTTACAAACATTTTTTTTTTTTTTTAATGTGCCAGCTTCCTTAGTGTCTTTAAAATGTGATTTGAATTACATATGTTTGATTTACAAACAGCCCTTCAGGAGCACATAAAACAAGCTGCGTTTGGACGCAATACCCAGACACCCCTGGCTGCTGTTGTCTTTCCCATTAAATCTTCCTCTTAATTGAGAGTTTAGCTGCTTGGCTTCGGTTGGTGTAGTAAATCTCTAGATAAGTGTTATTTTTCCTGTGTGGTTGAGGGAATAACAGCTTCATCGTTAACCCAGACTCTGATTTGGGACAACAGCTTTTTGTTTGCTCTTAAATCAACTATTTATTTGTGAATAATTTTAGATTTACGGAGAAGTTAACAAAAATAGTACGGAGAGTCCCCAGACACGGCCTCCCCCACCCAATTTTTCCCATTGTAACATCTTACATTACTGTGGCTCATTTGTCACAACTAAGAAACCGACAGTGGTGCATTACTATGAACTAAACTTCAGAGTTTATTGGAATTTCACCACCAATAACCTTTTGAAACTGTTGGGGGTGAAACTTGATTCAGGGAGAAAGTTTGGAGTTTAAAAGCACTCAGAAGCAGGCTGTGTCCTTTGATACACACACAGCACTGTCAGTGTAAAGCCAGAAGCTTCTATTTTAGATAGGATTTTGATGTATTTTCTTTTGAACATTTCTACATGGTGTTAGTATCTTGTAGTGCTGAACTTCTCTTATCCATGTGGCCTCATTTTTATCGATCATTGTTGTTAGCTTGAACTTAGCTAGGGATGAGACAGAATTGTCTTCTGGAATAAGAATAACTTGGAGACTCAAATATTCCCTTTAAAACAAATAGTATTTATTTATAAAAAGATTAGATGAAATTCTATAAAAGGTATTATCTCCCTCCCTCTCTTTCTTGCTTTTTGTTCACTTAATCATTTTTATTAGGTCTTCAAAAATATAAATATCTGCCTGAAAGGAGGGCTGATTTTTTTTTCTAAGTGTTTACTCAAAGACCAGCTATCAAGGAGTAATAAATGAGAGTGGAAAGGAACAAGACTTGGCCCAGGGTGATAGTGGATATAAATGGCCCGAGTGGGCCATAAACCAGTGTGACCAATTAGAGATTGACCTCACTTGGCTTGTGGAATAGAATCCTTGTGGGTATTTATGAGATTCACAGTCATGGTATACAGATAATGGCCTTTCGTAGAATTGCTTTTCTTCCCTCGTACCTCACTTGAAAACTTAAAACAAAAACGAAAATATAAAGGCAAAAAAGAAAGAGAGAATGAAAGAAAAAAAAAAAATTCCCTGTAGCCTTAAAGCTACATTCCCCAATTAAGGACAACAGGTCAAGTTTGGCTTTTACATTCATCAGTATTTCTGCTGTCATCGTATAGTAATTGATGGAAAAGTTTAGCTCTCACAATCTCTCCTTTTTGCAGTTTGAGTGTTTGTTTTCTTTATGTCACACACACACACACACACACACACACACACACACAGATAGGTACCCTCAACAGGGTCTTCATGCTGTGATTCTTTCCTCAACTCTGCAGCCGGCCAAGGTCATGGGGCTGGAGCCTTTCCACCTGGCCTCTAACATTGCACGGCAGCACCCCTAGCCCTTGTGCCACCAGGATTGGGCTATCTCTTAAGTCTTTATTTATTTAGTGCTTATTATTTATTTCTTCTTCTGAGAGAGAATGAGAGACACTCCCTAGAGTCTTCAAATCACAATCCTTCCCCAGTCTCAGCTAGCCTGGACCATCGTCATATATATAACCAGTGTGTTCAGGGAGGTCCTGAGACACAAACACATGACCTTGTAAATCCACTTGTACTACTATTGTGCCACCACCTGGCCCTTACAAATCTTTTTAGTAATATGTATTCATCTCCCTGTTGTTTTAATGAAAATGTGTTTATTTATTTTAATTTTGTAAATTTTCTGGCTTATAAGGAGATAGGCCATCTGAACTCACCTTGAAGCCAATTGTATTTCCCTAC